ACCGGAAAGGAGCAAACGAGGAACTGACGGGGACCCTATGGTGATACAACATGAAAGAAATATAGGGAAAACAGGTGGGTCGAGATGAGGTGTTGCTAATTGGTATAGTTGTAAGCCGGCAGAGAAGTCGATATGGGTGTAATATGAGTTGCAGCTGAAGCTATCTCGAGGAAGTGCTGCGGAGCAAGTGATGGGCAAGCGATGGGCAAATGATGCTTAGGTGCCACTGGGCGTCATGCTACCCATCTGAGCATCGATGTTGATTACAGCTGATACAGATGAGGTGTCTGAGTCTTGCTCGTTGTCTGTATACATCCTGTAGACAAGCCAGAAATAGGAATATCAATCCCAGCCTGGTGGTAAAGAACACCGACATTTAACCTCGTGCGGATATAATCCAAAGTGGTAACCGCAATTCGCCCCCCCCCCCCAAGTCTGCATATATTTGCTAGGACACATTTCAATTCCTGACAGCCTTATACTGGACCCGGAAGACCATTATAGCAATTTTAGGACCGAGCAACGCAATGGTCATGGACATGACTCCAAGGACATACGAGCCGTAAGCTTGTGCACTACGGCCACCATCTTTCTCCATTCTCCACCGCAGCCGCAAACAGCAGTGACATATGCGACGATCTACGCAGACACTTGATCTTCGAATGCCTGAGCCTACTTGTTGGTTAAACTCAGCACGGCAATTCAGCCAAAGTTGAACGCTGACCGAGCTCGCTTTCAGGCTCGAAAATGACGAAATTGCCCGGACACAATACTGCCACATCCCAAAGTCTTCGAGGGCTATGGTATTTTGCGCAGATGGAACATATGGGTCAACACAGTTGATTGATCGAGTGATATAGCGAGAAGGCAGAGAACTGAATGATATGATCCCCGCAGCAACAACCCAAGCCTCGCCTTTCCCAGGCCGATGCCACACTGTACAAAGCCGCCCGACGCGATTAAAATAGACAATAAAATGAAGATCAACCGACGGAATCGCCAAGCTTGAAACGCCCACTCATCAAATGCAAAAGACGACCAACAACTGTACAGTCCAGAGCCGCGCCGCTGTCGCAACCTAAAATGAGAACGAATGATACAGCGCGGGTGCATGGTGGCCACATTCGCGCAGGAAAAAAAAAGAATTTTACACGACAACGTGTTTATATGACTCATAGATTAAGAACGATAGGCACCTCGAAGCCAAGAGCTATTAGCCCACTCTTCATCACAAGCAGTGGTGTTTTGAAGGGTAGTCACATACCAGGGAAGGATTGCGGTGCTTGCCCTGCCCCGAGCCCACGAGGGAAAGGAATTTGCGAGATGGAACTAGGCATATCGATCCTGCGGATGAGATCGACCATTTTCTCCGGAGAGAACCGGCCTGCATTGTACGCAGAAGCCGGAGGAATCATACTCAGGAGGTTGACAATGTCTCGGGGGAGGGGAGCAGGTGACCCCTGGGATCTGAACTGGGATTGAGTGGCCATAGGGCGCTTCTGGTCCATCTGGCGTCTTTGCGTGGTCTTTAGCGGAGACTCTGCCCGAACGAACTTGCGTGGGCGGCCCATATCGTCGTCGAACTCCTCCAACTGCCGCTTGGGTGAATTCGTAATAGACGGATCCGGGAATCGAGAGTTGGGAGTGCCATGGCGAGACATCATCTGGTCCGCCGCGTACGCCGCCTTGGGTCTGGTCTGGGAGGGTGAAATGATAGGATGCACGGCTGTGGGGTCGAAAGCCGGGGTCGAGAACCGATGGGCGAATTGCTCCAATGTTGGGTCTTCGGGAAACAATTCACGCATACGGGTTTCGAGGTTGATGACTTGGACGAGGTCGCCATACCGTGACTCATACTCATGAAGGAAGGCAAAGATGGGCTTGGTCTTGTGCACATTCTCCGGGTTGGAGGCCAACTTCCTCACGGTCATCTCAAAGACCGCTCTAGCATCTGGCACGGCGGAAATCAGTATCGTTCCTGAAAGGTTCCTGAGATCAGTGGGGGAAAGAAGACTTACTGATGACATCGTTGATGTCGATGAGGTGCTTCAAGTACTCCAAAGCGAAGTTCTCGTCCTCCGGGAAAAGCTTGGCACCTCGTTCGAAGATCTTGGTAGCGGCAGGATCCTTATAACAATGATATTCTATGAGAGCACTCGCTATATAAACATCACTCGTGATGCGACCGCGCTTCCGGGCATCTTGGAAGATCGATCTCGATCCCGGCATCTCGTTGAGCTTGCCCTTGCCCTGGATGCGGCGCATCGCGCGCATGAGAGCGATCCAGGCGAACGAAACAGTCTTGGAGAGGATGCCTATCTGGATCGCATGTGCGTTCCGAACGGCTTCGATTTGGGATTTCTTGACAGACTCCCTCGCCTTTGCCTCCTGCAGGTCGTCGTCATCATCGTTCTTCGACGGCGGCTTCTCGGGTTGCATCTTGGCGAATGTTTCTTCCAGGCGAGCAACATCTTGATCTTCGCGGGTGCGAGCCTTGGCAATCAGCTCGTAGAGCGAATCAAGTAGTCTGTCGTAGGGTTCTCTGACTTTGGCACCGCGCACGATGGGATCCTGTTCCGACTCGGTAGTGATTTCCAGCCGGTCAGCACGCTTGAATGCAAGCAAGCAGCTCTCCGGATTCGCGTCTATGCCATGCTTCAGGAACTCATTTCCTTCATTCTCTAAATCATGATGGAAGCAGAATTCGGCTGCTTCGAACCACATTTCGGGTAAGAATCTGAGAGCCATGAGAGCTTGTTTGTAGACATAGATCACCCGGGCTTTGAAGGTCGCGGGGTCGTCTTCCTTCAGCACAAGTGGATCGTCCTTCTCCCATTTAATCCATTTCTTCCAGATCTCCACCTGTTGCGCATACTCGACGTCGCCATCAGAGCCGGGCACAGGCGGCATTCTGGGCAGTGATGTGCGAAGGAGTCCCTGCGTGATGTGCTGCAGCTCATGGTAAGCGGTACGAGCGGTTACAAAGGCCGGCGACTGTTCCTGTACGAATTTGAAGCCCTATGTAAATTCAATGTGAGCCTGACAATCTCCCAACCACAAACCGGCTTGATAGACTTACCGTCATCTTATTCAGTGACTTTTCAAATTGATCATACTGGTTCCAGAGTGCGCTGGTTTCCTGGTTGGGGACGCAGATGGCCTTATGGTAGGCCTTGCGGAGCAGGTCCATCTTCTGTTGATCTTGCCATCCAGACCCTCCAGCATTTCCGGGGCCCGAGCGAATGAATTGGACATACTCGGCGTAGATGGCTCCCGCGTCCTTATCGACGCCGACATGTTGAAAGGCTAGATCATAAGCCGCAGTGATGATTCTCCTTGCCTGGCCCGTGGTATCTGTAGTCAGGGGATTCCGCCGACGAACGTAGTCCAGATATACGGTCCACAGTCGGACGTCGGGAATGGTCAAAAGGGTCCGGCTGAAGATCTGTTCTAAACGGAAGAGCTCATTGAGCTCCGCTTCCATATTCGCATATGCAACCCATTGTTCGGCCTAGAAGGCAATTAGCCGACAAGGGTCACGCTGGCGAGTGAATCCAGCGATACTCACCGAGAAAGGAAACACTTTCAAGAAGCGTTCATAGACGTCGCGTGCATTGTCGATCCTATTGCGGCTTCTGTGTTCGTTAATCAACTCCAGCCAGGCAGACATATCACCTCGGGGGTCCTCCTTGATCCTGTCCTCCAGGATGCCGATGCGATCGTGAGGCAGGCGACCCTTGGTCGTGGAGGGAGATTCCGGCTGAGGAGTAGCTGCATTGCTCTCCTGCGCGCTGTCCGACGGTAGAGTACGCGCGTTGTACAACTCCTGGCCCGAAGCCACAGACGCATCATTTTTAGAAGCAGCAGGGAAAGAGCTATTAGGGACATTCTTGACGCTGGCAGACTCCTGCGCAGGCTCATTCAAAGATACATCAGGGGTAGAAGTAGCTTCATTTGCATTTCCTGAAATGGGTTGCGAAGGTATAGTATTCATGTCCTCGACACCTAGTACAGCCGGCGGCTCATAATCATCTGCATCACCCGCATCATCCTCGTCCTCATCCTCAACCACAAACCCCCCAATCGTCCTGGTCTTGGGCGGAACAGAAGCCCCAGTGGCAAGGCCAGATGTTGATGCCTGAGACTCAGCTCGGGAAGGTGTTTGGGAAGGGTAGGTATTGCCAGCTTGCTGACTAGGGTCTGTTTCGGGTGCAAGGGAAGAAGAAGAGGTCTGGTCTGGTGGCGGGGTGGAATTGGAAGGAGGAGCAACGGAAGGAACATTTTCAGTTTGCTTGGAATCTGTCGCGGAGGAAACAGAATACTGATCTGGCAGTGTTTTTGAAGGGTCATAATCATCTGAATCTGAACTATCTGCAGTATGCTCTTCCACAGCCTTATAGTCCACAGAGTCCGCATTCATTGCCTGAGCCTGGAAAAAGGCGTTCTCGGCATCATCTTCAGCCATGACAAAAGGATGTGGTCTCGCTCGCGATAAGGGTCAAAGAGTCGGACTACCTGCAAAGAGTGGCGGTTAGCGACTGGAGAGCTGACGTTGAGGTAGAGGGGAATGAGATCGAGATGACTCTTAGGGAATCATACGGAGAAGAGGGTGTGTGTCAAGCGGGCGGTGCTACCGACTGCCAACCCAGAGTAATCTGGAAAAGACAAAGGATCGGAACAAGTCTTCTAGATTGTAGCTTCAAAGGAACCAAGGTAGAAAGAAAAGGAACAGCAACAGCTGCAAGCGACTGAACGTTCGGACAATAAAACAATAAAAGAAACCCTCCTGGTGGATCTCACAGGTATCACACCGATGGAGATGAGGTGCAGTTGCGGTGGATTCTGGGCTGGAGCTTGTGGCAGAAGCTGCGGGCTGTCACGCATTGGGCGATAGATAGCACGTGATGAGCTGTAGGCGGTGAGCGCGAAAGATGCGTCGCCTTGTCGCCCACACGCGCCCGGCGGCGCGTCGCCGATCCTTCTTTGGGATGTTTAATTGACGGCCTTAGCACTGCTACTACTAAGTTACCACCACTACCATAACAACCACCACCACTACCATTAGGTACAGACAATAACTTACTTGCTGTCGTTCTCGCCTCCATTTATCCCTCCAGTTCTCCTCCCCACTTCTCTTTCTCTTCCTCTCCCTCTTCCTCTCCCCCTCCCCTCTGTCTCCCTCCCTCCCTTCCTTTCCCAAATAAAACTAGAGCCATTCCTCTAGCACTTTGTTTGTTCCTCTCATCTGTTATAAATTCTCCACCTTTCTCAACCTCAACACCCTTTCATCTGATAATTCTTCACCCATACCCAAGCCCTCAGTCAAGGCTTCGCAACCTCCGTTCCAAACCACCATGTCGGTCGTCTCTCTCCTCGGCGTCAAGATTGTCAACAATCCCGCCCCCTTCACAGCGCCCTACCAATTCGAGATCACCTTCGAATGCCTTGAACAACTTCAAAAAGGTAAAAAAACAAATACTCTCTCCATACGTATCCACCTCCCTACAACCGCAGCCGCTAAACCTCTCCAACAAACTAGATCTGGAGTGGAAGCTCACCTACGTCGGTTCTGCCACCTCGTAAGCCCCCAGCCTCAAAAACCCAACCCCATCTCCGATACTTCCTACCAGACACTAACCCTCAGTTTCCCAGCTCCGAATATGACCAAGAACTCGACTCGCTACTCGTGGGCCCCATCCCGGTGGGCGTCAACAAGTTCATCTTCGAAGCCGACCCGCCCGACCTGAAGCGCATCCCCACCTCAGAGATCCTGGGGGTGACCGTCATCCTCCTCACCTGCAGCTACGACGGTCGGGAGTTCGTGCGGGTGGGATACTACGTGAACAACGAGTACGATTCGGAGGAGCTCACCGCCGACCCGCCTGCCAAGCCCATCATCGAGCGCATCCGTCGCAACATCCTGGCGGAGAAGCCGCGTGTCACTCGATTTGCGATCAAGTGGTAAGTCGTCCTATAGCTCCTCACACTTTGCCGCGCCCGCTGCTAATGTTCTCCGTGCCAGGGACTCGGAGGAATCCGCCCCCGCCGAATACCCCCCCGACCAGCCGGATGCCGACCTCGTCGACGACAGCAACACATACGGTGCGGAGGAGGCCGAGCTGGAGGCCGCCCTGGTCAAGGAGCTCGAGGAAGCGGAGCGAACGGACCCCTCCCGCGGCGAGGACCAGGACATGGAGGGCGGGGAGGCCACCGCCGGGGACGAGGAGGATATCTCCGACGCGGAGAGTGAAGACATCGAGGATGAGAGTGACGACGACGAGGAGGAGCTCGACGAGGAAGAGGGTGGCGACGGCGACGAGGACATCGAGATGGGCGATGACTCGGAACCCAAAGATGAGGCGGCCGGCGGCGCCAGCAACAACCCCACCACCCACCATCAGCCGGAACTGATGGTCCACTAGACTCCATTTCCTCTTGCTTTGAACCCTTCTCCATGGATTGTGGGTGTGCGTGTGGGCTTGGGCGTGAGAGTCGTTGATCTATTCTTTGCTTCTACTTGGTATCCTTCGAAATGATTTTACGATTGGGTTTGCGACGTGCTTCTTCTTTTTCGACGATACATCTTATCATATCATATTCCCATCCAAACCAAAAAAGGTTCCGCAGTATTTACTTGACATAGAAAGAACCAAAACCATAACTTGACCTTCCAGAAAGAAAACTTCCTCACATGCTCCCTTCCAAGCACCTCTAAACCCAACCCTTCCCGACTCGAAAATGAATAAAATCCAACCCTGGACAGTACAGTAACGGACATTCCTCCCACCGGCCGCGGACATAAAACAGAGCCCTCCCCCCAAAAAGCAAGGAGAAGATCAGATCAACGGGGGTGTCCCACGTACCCGTGGCAACTCCTCGACCCCTGACATCGGAACCACGCAAGGCTGAAGGGAAAGGGAAGGGGGGGTTGTCCCTAGAACTCAGCGCTGTACCGCACAGCACATAAACCAGCCCAGCCAGGAGACTCAGTTCCTGTGTATATGTACAGTACCAATTTGGGGCTTGTAGGACCGGTTACCTCACCTTCCACTCGCCGTCAACCTATCTTCGAGAAACTCTGGTGGTGAGGGGCTTTTGGGATTGGGCCGGAGAGGCCGGATTGTGGAGGGTTGATGGGGTCGATTGCGTGAAAGCCCAAGCAGGATGGAGAGAAGCAAATGGATAGGAGGAGAGGGGGGGGGGTTGCAGGCGAGATGTGCGGTGAGAGTGGGAAAGAGAGTGAAATGAAGAAGGGAAGACGGTGCGGTGGGTAAGTAAGGGTATACTGGACTTGGAAATGTAGTGCGTTTCCGCTACAGTATCGGTATGCATGTGCAGGTAGCTGGTGATCACCGACGGAAGAAGGAGTTCTTGCTAATATGTGGCCTTCGTGCTTGAGGCAGAAATGTAAATATCCCGGGGGAAAAGTGGACCGCCGGGCTGGGCTGTACAGGAGTCCCTACGGTGCGTAGTGAGATTCCCCAATTGTCGGAGTGCATGCGATTTTGATCTCAGAAATAATGGGACATGTGTGCTCGGAGGCAAATCCGCCAGAATAGGTACATACAATGCTTAGTATGTTTCGATGCATGTATAGTCCAAGGTTGAGCTTCTCGGCAATATCTGGAAGTCATCTATTCATGAAATTGCCGCTTACTGCTAAGGAACACAAACACCATTCAACGCCGACAATAGCTGGGTATGAATAACTAGAGCCCAATATCAGGTTATTGAGAAACACAATTCTTTTCTCCTCATGGGTTGAAGGTGACGACCAGGAAAGCGGTTTAGAGACCGAATTTGGAACTGAGGGCTGTGGTCACTCTGTCAGTATGGCCTAGCATATTTCCAGATCAAGGTGTACTTACCGCCCATCACAGCCTTCCGTTTCTGGGTCTGGACGAATTTGTTGACGTCTCGAGCCCAGTTGCTGCTGCTCTCTTCCAATCGTTCCATCTGGTCACCAGCTAGATTGAGCCGCTCTGTACGCTCCGTGACCTGACGTTGCATGTAAGACCAGTATCCCTCCTGATTGCCTGAGTCTGAAGACTGGTTGGTGTTTGTCCTGCCTTCTCTGAATGCCTTTCGACGCTCCTGTTCGTCCAACCGCATCTGTTCCTGCATGCGTTTTGAGGGTGGGCGATCGGGACCACCAACTAGAGAATGCTGTTAGTTTTTCATGCACAAAATAAGATAGAGATATACCCACTAAGTAAGTCCATGTCGGCCGGCGAGATGTACTGCGTGCCGGAGATCCATTGAATATTCGTGATCGTTGGTCGGGGTGGGACGACTGCTTGAGGATTGTACAATTGGTCCTCAGAAGGTCGGCTGTGATATAGATTAATAACTTGTGTACCGAGAATAAATGCCTTCGGGTCGACTCACAGGCCAGTTCCTGCCCCCCAGACATTAAACAACCCCACTTCTGAAGGGCTTGTCCAGACCATGACGGTACCATTAGAGGAGGCACTAGCATCGGCAAGTCGTCTCATGTCGGCAATCTGATTGATCGGGCTGCAACCGATCTCTTTGAGTCCGGGGATAGAGAAGGCCCGTGTGTTTCCGTCGCCAAAAAGACCAACAAGGCTATAGCCGCGGCCCTCAATCTTGACTACCGTAGCATAATCACAGAGGTAATCGTCCCAAGACCTATGAGCGCCCTTGGATGTCGCAGGCTTGAAAATTCGACACCCTGACACAGTCACGGCAACCACTACTCCATTCACTCTGATGCCGTTGCGGAGGCCTCCAACAGCGTTAGGAGAAGCCGAAGCAGGATTGCCGCTGTCAGCATTGATTGGAATGATGTTGATGACCTTATCATCTAGTAAGCTTGCACCAGCAAAAACTGCCGAGTAGGTACCATTATCCGATGGCAAGATTTTAAAAGTCGCCAGATTACCTTTACTGGTACCCACAAAACAGCAGATACTTGAGTAGTCTAGAAAGATCATCAGCCATCCAAGCGCGCGTGAACTGTTTTTGAAAACAGCTTACCTTCTCCTTCGAGTGTAAGCACCCCGAACTCGATACATGTGGGCCACTCTGGAGAGGAAGACTCGGAGCTGCGCTGTTTGAAGAAGCTGCTCCTCTTGTTTGCCTTCAGCAACTCCGAAAAATGGGCTGTATGGATGATCGCCGGCCCGCGCAAGTCAATGATTGCTAGACTTCCGCTTTCGAAACCGACTGCGACAAACCCAACCTGGCTGTGTTTGAGAGCAGTCACTGGTCCCTGTTGCATGTTGAGGAGGGTGAGGGGAAGAATGCCTTGCTTGAGCCCAGGATCAACCCGATGAGTGATCGAGGTCAACTTACCGAGCCCTTCATTGGCACCTGGGGGCTGCTCACTTCCGAAATTCTTGTTGCTTCCCCAACGGAAGACAACAAGCTCACCAGTTCTGAGACCTACGGACAGCTCACCCGTTGAACCACTTAGAGACATCTCAGTGACTTCGACGTTGCCCACACGACCTACTGCGCGGGCCAAGTCCACTTGTATGATCTCTCCGTTTTCAACTTCGTCATCAATGCCTCCGTCCCAGATGCGAATAGTGCCATCCGCATGGGCGGTGGTGATGATGTTTCGATCTTCGAAGCGTTTCAGTGCTTTCTTGGCCTCTGCGCCGCCCAAGAGGAACTTAGGCCCCTGTGACCTGCGCTCTTTCAAGCCCAACCAAGCAGAGCGATCAACTGCGGTTAATGTCGCCTTGGTCACGAACGGGTGCACGAAAGACAGGTATGGGTGAAGCATATTTGTAGGTGTGATAGGGTGTCCAGTCGGGAAGCTCATGGTGATCAGTTCTCCCGAGGACAAGCGGGCAATCAGGGCAATGGGGTCATGGGCGCCACCAAAATAAGGAGTGCTGCGTGGAATAGGGCAAAAGTCGACCACCTCACCTCCAGGTGGGGTGGGTAGGACCGAGACACGTCTTGGAGATTCGAAGTACTTCGAAATCATAGGCCAGGTAGACGTTTGATAGTTCGGAGTAGGGCCCAGATCCAAAAAGGTAAGGCCCTTGAGGGACTCGGCCTTTGGCCGACCACCGGCAATCAAAAGCCCACTGTCATCACCGTTGTCCTTCACACACCACGCGACGTGTGTGATCGGATCCTTGAACCCAGTGGCTCCCGCCGAAGAAGGCCTTTCGAGACTTACGCCTGGCTGATCAACATTGGGGGTGTCAATGGACCGAGCCATCACCTTGCGACCGTCCTTCGAATCCCAGAAAACCAGGCTGTTGTCATCATGAACCGTCAAAACGAAGATGCCATTCGGGTGCCAGAGAGCCTGGGTCAACCTGGGTCTGCGCAAGTCCGAAATCGGTACCTCCGCATTCCCACCCAGCGCGCCTGGAGGCACTTCATATTCGAAGTATTTCTGTGCGACGTTTTGTTTGAAAGAGAAGGTCACTGCGCCGTCCGGATACCCGACCAAGATCTTGCCAATGTCGCGAGGAGAAAAGGCGAGACTAATTACCGGACACATACGCGTCCGCGCATTGCGTTGAGCCCACAGATTCGGTACCCTGAAGGGCGTCAAGGTTTCACGATCCAGATCGTATGCGATAATGTCGCCTAGCATATGTCATCAGAAAAGGAATCACACGTGAATCCTAGCGGAGGTCGTACCATTCTGCAAACCAATGAAAGCATAGTCAAGACTCGGGTCGGTTAATAACGCACTCGCATGGCTCGGAGGTGCATACGAAACCAATGTCTTGCCAGTCTCAAGGGAGAAGATTGTGATTTCACTTTTCGAGTCGACACTAACGAGCTTGTCGGCGCAGAACTGAATGTGTTTCGCAGAGGCTTTGCGAGGCAACGAGAAGATGACCGATACGCGCCGTTGACCAAACACGTAGATCTGACCATGTCCAAACTGGGTATCACTGGTTCCGACTGCAAGGAGGGACTGAATCGGGTCGTAGGCAATAGCACTGACTTGAGAGTTGATACCGCAGCGAGCGAACTGGTAGATTGAGAAAGACTCGTTAGCATATACAATTCAATAGTAAGAGGTCCTCAGTAGACTTCAGCAGTGGGGAAAGTAGAAGGTATATCCGGCACAGACGACGTACATCATCGAGGGCGAACAGGTCCGGCGACAACCCTTCGGAAAAGTCCTTCTGGATGCCGGCCTGTTTCCCTCTCAGGAAGTGCGCCATTCTCACAGAGTTTGGAAAAATGGAGAATGGGCAGTGAAGGTTGAACGTGGATAGAGATAGGATATAGAATGGAAAATAGGAATAAAGACCAGCGACGACCCCACGAAGGTAGGGATCAAGTCAAGGGCAAGGTCATTACCGCGGGGAAGAAAAGCAAAGGTTCCAAGTTGACTGACGGCATTAAGGCTGATTGATTGATTGCCTTATGGGCGGCGGTCCGGGGCGGGGCAAACTGGATCACCCGCCCGCCCTGCACTAGCCGCTCCCAGTTACGGTGCGATAACAAGACGTAGTCACTGAGTAAACATGTGATGATCAATTACAGCTAGTAGGTCTAGTTCTCCTGTCATTGTTCAACTGCTGGATAAATTCCCTATATTTACAAACAAGATATAGCTATCGAGTAGAAGTGTATAATGGATGCTGCTCATTCAATTTCATTCTTGCTTCACTGGACTCCATAAATTTTATTCAGTAACATAGCTTGTATGAATTACTT